AAGAATACTAAAAGAATATGCTCATAATTTAAATGGAAAAATATATTTTTAAGACCAAATAATTTTATTAGAAAATTTCAGGCAATTTTATTTTGTTACAATGGTAATTTTGTTACAGTTTTGCTCCAAGTATACCAAGCTGTCAGTACTGCTGAGAAAAGATACAAGTATATTTGTAATCATTTACAATATTTATTGTTGAATTTTCTTTATAAACAGTAAAATTGATTTATGAGATGAGAAATAAATGCTAGAGATTACAAACAAATCAGAATAATAGCCAAATTATACCTTGTTATGGTAAAATTAGTTTTGTTATACAGTACATTGTTTTGCTTAGCTTCATAGTTCCCAAGAAACAATAAATGTTAAGTAAGAACTTGATGTATTGTCAATATTACACCTATGAATTTATTATTTTATTGTTTAAATTTTCAGAAGTTATTTACTCAATAAAACTTTCAACAGGTGTATTTAATATTGATATGTTAACATAAGCTATTTTTAGAGAGACAGTTAAAAATGAATGATTATGATACAAAAATTAGAACAGATTTCATGCTGGTAAAGCAGAATGACTCACTGATTTTAAATTCATATCCAACATTTTAGTCAGTTATGTTGATTAAATACTTTTCACGTTTGGTAAATTATATTTAATTTTTTGTTAAAATTTAATTTATTAGAGAAATTTACTTAAAAAATTTTGTGTGTAAAGCAGTGACATGCCGTGACATTTGATGATAGGGAAGCTGACATCCAGGGGCAATCAGTCAATTGCGTGTCAGTGATGGTCTAGGGTCCATTCGTATCGTTTATTCAAAAAGCCAGTAAAAACTGTAGACTTTTCTAAATGTATTTTTAATATCACAATTACATTCTGAATCGCTAACCACGATATAGGGCTACAATTAAAAATAAAATAATAAAAACTTACTTGGTGAAATAAAATGTGTGGTGGATGTACCAGTACATACCTGGTACAAAATATGCTTCAATTGTATGAATATACTTTTAAAGAAAATTATTATTAACTATAGCTTTGTAAAGAAACGTACATAAAAATATAAAACATTCTTTACTTTTTAAATCTTAATTAAAACAATGCACTTAGTCAAATGGCTCCCTCCCTACAAGTGGCTAATGGATGGAATCGAAGATGGTTGCAGAGCGTGCATACATGCGGACTGCCAAATCCCCAAAGTGCCGATACCGGTTAATGTCAAATACCTGTTTTGTCACATCACTAGTATATCTCAAAGGACACGACAGGGCTGTTGTAGATTTTAAATGTTTCTCACCATAGCTGTAAAAGTCTAAATATGTTAAACTTAATAGTCATTTGTTTTCTAACTAATTCGTTTTAGGACCAAGTGTCCTCAGAAATTTCCAAAATTTACAACTTTTCGGTCACTCTCATTGAACTGGAAAAATTTCTGTCTTTATTACATTAATAATATGAAGAAATCAGTCTCCACTGTACTCGGCTAGAGATGGTTCGGTTAGGCTTTTGTTTAAGTAAAATTTCGGCTCTTTCATCAGAGTTTTGTTTATGCCCCCAATTCCCTACTCGCTTAATTATTTAACTACTTCTTAAGTAGAAATAAGTCGAAACCACTTACTTTATACTCGAATATTTGTAGTCTCGGGAAAAAAGTGGAAAGACAAATTTTTATGACAAACGAATACATAAATCGTAAATTTAAGGAAAATAAATTCTAGAGCTTTTTCTGTACCTCGTGCATCTCTCTCATTCATTAAATTTAGTTGTAAATGATGCTGTCAAAGTAACAGTTAATTTTTTAACATTATACAAGAATTGTACACGTTTTTTTCTACATCCCCTTAAAGATGGGATGTACGAAATCGTAATATCACTGGTTTAACATCGAAATCCGTGAGTAATATAAAATCGGAAAGCGGAATAAATCTATCAAATATTTTAATGCATTTTTTTAACTCCTGTCAACTATACAGAACTATCGTAAAAACATACCAGTAAATTCTTATCGGTTGGGTTAAGTTATAAATCTACTTGCTATTCACGTAATCGGCCAAATATCTAGCAGGCGGGCGGCTAACAGCCCAGAACCGGTCGTGGATAGAATTGGAAGCGTTGTATGTGTAGCATCAACCCAAGGTCGTAGGCTTCCACTAGCTAAACCGGGTGAGGTTGGTGCTCCGTAAAGCACATGCGCAAATCTGGCTTTTTGGATGCTGACAATACAGCACTTCCACTCTGCCACTAATATTCGAATATACAATAGCAATCTTATCTTTTTTTCACATGTAGTTTAGAAATTAATAAGATACATAATGCGGTTATAATTAAATATTGTGCGATTATTTTCATATAATTAAAATTAATATGTATTTATTTTTTAGAAAATACAAGGGAAGTGGCGCATCCACCGCTTCTAATTACGGCACGCCACTGGTGTAAAGATATATTCTTGTTTGTTATTATTAAAGCTAGAAATCTAGACACTAAAATCCATATGTTACAATTTTTATAGCTATTTATATGATCTTTAGTGCCTAGCTTATTACTAGAGATCAAATTTGGTAGCAATTACTACTTTCCTGATAACATTTCTACTGGACATAACTCCACAGCCCTTCTAAATAAATCTTATTTTACTACTTTTTGCTACTTTTGATTTTTTTTCGTTGAATTTTTCTACAGGAAACTTGTAAATTTTTGTATTTCAAATGTATTCTTGCAACAAAAAGGATTAACATTGCAGTTTACCAATTGACAGCACTAATTTCACTAATGTTAGTGCAAAGTTGCCAAGTCTAGTTATCTCCCATAAAGTAAATAAAGAGCAGAGATTACACTACCACTCTTTTACATTACTGCCACAAATTTAGCCAGGAATTCAATATGGCCATAGTGTATTCTTTGGACAAGTTTCTTAAAAAACAAAACAATATAAATTCATACAAAATATGTAGAATACACATGTACTCACTCTGCTATCAGACTCTTAATGAAGACATAAAAAGAAAAAAAAGAAAATAAAATAATATAAATAAATTATTCAGTAATTTGCTTATAACTGTGCTGCAATGTCTGAGTGGCATCTTCAATGAATGACCATCTTTGACCTTGATCTATGGAGACAGTTTATTGCACTAGCTCTATGTACAATACTACTTACTCCATGATATAGCGAATTTAAAGTGTGAAAAAAAAAGAATATTTTATATATATATAAAATGGTGTCACACCATAAAATTAATAATGTATTAACATCAAGTTATTATTAACATGATATTATTTAACATAACTAAAATATCTGCAAAAACTAAAATATCTGCAAACTGTAATGTCAGAATACTTGTAATAGTGATCTGGCCTTTATAATTTCATATTATAGTTTTCTTATGAATATCATTAAAAATTTAGAAGTTTAGGAGATGACACTCAAACTTATCCAAGCAGTTCAAAAACAGTCATCACAAACTTCCAGAACAAAAGGAATGCTGTACTACAGTATAATGCAGTGCAGATGATGTAAGATTAGATACAGATTCAAATATCATTGCTGCATTTAAACGGTCACCTCTAACAACAGCTGATGTTAAGAGATCATTTCATTATATAATATATTGTGAATGAAAAATGTGATAGATTTACTAAAAAAAAAATGCATAGATATATATGGTGATTCACTATAATAGCACAGTAGAGCATCGATTATCTGACTCAATAGGGGACTGGGGTTGGTCGGATAATTGAAAAGCCGTATAACCGAAAAGTATGAAAAAATCCATTATTAGTGTAGTATATTATTATATCCTATGTAATTAGTATATCGCTATTAACCAACTTCGTGTTGAATTTTCATCGATGTTAAGCCTAACAAAAATTTTTTAAAATAATAATCGTCACTATTGTATTGTTAAAAATTAGAAAATTAAGCCTCGCTTAAATACTGGCTCCCTTTCATGGTCGAATGAGTGCTGCCAGTTAAAACACGTAAAAATACTATTAAAGTAGCCAAGACATAGCCAAATATTGTAGCGCCATATCACTAGCGGACATTTGAAATTTGCCGACTAGGACGGTCGGTTAATCGGGGGTCGGATAATCGAGGCTCTACTGTAAGTTACATAATGTTTTTTCATCCTACTTATAGTTCATCCTTATGTTATATTGTAATAACAAAAAATTATACAACACTATTACAATATAGCATTATGTTATATAATAATTTAAACCATCTTCAATTTTCCATCCAGCTGGCAATTATATAATAATTGCCAGCTTGATTGCTGAGGCAGTTAAAAAGTTAGTCTACCATTCTGAAAACTAGAAATAAATGTGGGAAGATCAAAAACTCATGAATTTTTTAGGGTTCATCATCACTCAGCTGGCTGAACCCACAATGGGCTTGAATAATGGTCCTCTTAAGGCAGATAACGTTATATATATGTAAATTATAAAAGCAGAAATTCAGAAATTTCTTAAATATCTATACAAAAGTCATAAAAGCAGAAAAAAGTAATGTGTATGTGTATATATATACATACACATACATACACACACACACACACACTACTTTTATGCCAAATTTGATTACTTACACGTACATGCACACACACATATATATATATGCATGCGTATGTAAGTAATCAAATTTGGCATTATATGATTTAATATTTATATACATAAAGCCAATTTAACTGCTGTTTAAATGTATCTAATGCATTCTAAATACAAAATTTATATAAAATAAATATAATTGAATATATGAATTATTAATGTTTAAAACATTTGCTTGAAAGTAATTTTTAATATTAAATAATTCATTTTGATAAAAACAACTTACTAACAAAAACAGCAATAAAATGTAAATATACACCCACAACTGCCGTTGGGCTAAATTTAGATATAATGATTATAAATTAGAAATTCATTTCTAATTTATAATTTATAATCATTATATCCAAATTTCGCCCAATCAATTACGGCAGTTGTGGATGTATATTTGCTTAATATATTGGGTTTTGGTTGTGTATACTTGAATAAAATGTAATAAAATAAAAATAAATAAATAATAATGATAAGTTATTAGCATTATAAAATATTAAAATCATAAAATACTTACTTCCATTATCTACAAACCATCTGCGAGAATTACCCATTGGGTCTTGTTTCTTAATTATTCTAACAATGTCATCTTTTTGAACTGATAAATCTAAGATATCAGTTGCCACATATGAATCTCTAACTATGTACAAACTGTTTGATGAATAATGAGACTTTAGGTAAGTACGTTGACTTTCAGTCTGTTACAAAATTATAAAATAAGCTATTATAAGATTTTTACAAAATTAAAATTATAGAAAAAAGAAATTAACCTGAGTATTCAATGGTGATGAACCTAAACTTAAACGATGTGCAGTTGGTGATGTCTTCTTTGTCAATGTGTCAGTCTTCTTTGTTAAAGTATCAGTTTTTAACAAAGATGAATTACTTGCAAATATCTGGCGAATTTCAGAAGAAAAATCAGATAGTTTTGCAGATGCCAAATTATGTTTTACTTGAAATGTTTCTAAAAATTCTGTTCTATTACCAATGATCAAAGGAAGCTGAAAAAAATTTTTTAATATAAATTTTATATTTTCTCTAATAGTAAATTAAAAATTTCAAGTAAAATTAAATAACTACCTCTGTTAGTTCAATCATTTGTTTTGCAACACGCCCAAGAAAAGTTTTTCTCAATTGAAGGAAAGCTATTACACTGAAATTTAAAATTTCAGTAGATAATTCACATAATTTTGGTAATTCATCTAAAAGTTGACTATTTAGAGCTTCATATGTATTTTTCATCAACTGCTGTTCTTCACAAAGCTGAAGAAATAATTTAATGAATCATTTCATTTGAAAAACATATACACAATTTTTGCAATAATCTTGAAATAAACAGTATTTACTGTTTTCTGTTTAGTCACATCTTTGTTACGTTCTAATCGATTTGTACATGCTTCATAATCCAACAGTTTGTCATACCGCTTCTGTATCAAATTTCTTGGACCATTAAATGTTTGTAACAATTCATTCAGTGGATTTATTACATGCCTTTCCATTGATATTTTCTAATAATAATATTAATAAATAGTGAAATTATTGTAATTATTGAAATTACAGAAAAAAACAATATTGTACAAATCCTTAAATAAAAAAGAACTTACAAAATCTTCCCAATACTGAGTTACTATAATAAAGTGAGTTGTCCTCAATTTTTCAATTTCTTGTTGGGCATTTCTTTGTTGATAAAAGTTTGCAATATCTTCAGCCACATTTAATGCTGTCATTCTATAATCCTTAAGATATGAAAAAATAATGCATTTTTATTTTTATGAATTATATAATTAACTCTTAAAAAATGTATAAATTTCAGCTAAAAACTATTTTTACAAAAATAAAAAAATTCTCATAATATAATTACAATCTAATCTTTTGAGATATATTTTCCTTGATTAGTCTATACAGAAAATTTTCAGTAATTTAGTGTGATTTATTGAATAAAGATAACTCATTTAGTTTTGAAAAAAAATTAATGTGAGAAAAACATATTAAAAATTTTAATAAAAATAATGATAATGACTTTTCACATCATTAAAGATAAAAGAAATTTATCAAAATAAATTGAATAAGTCTTGATATTAATTAAGTAATAATTGTTTGAAAAATTTTTAAATTAATTCATTTTTTTAATCTTATTAGGAATCTGTTTTTTAAAGAAGGATTTTATTTAATGAACTAAGTCACATTGTTTACGTATAGTTACTGTTATTAGGATTTATAATTTTTACGTTTTTTGAAACTAATTTCTGATCATCATTTAATTCTTAAAAAAACAATTATATCATCAGTTCTTTTTAACATTTGAAATTATACACTTTTTTTTTTTTAATATTTAAATTAAAAATTTTGTTAAATACAAATTCTTGAATAAAGGTTATGATGATGAAGTATATTTTAAATTTAAAGATATTACAGCACTGCTGATTTAAAAAAAAATCAATTTAATTGATTTATATTTTTAGAAACTAAGTACTATTACAACAAACTTATTCACATAGGGCCAAATTGATTAGAAATGATTATTTACCAGTTTAACTTTTGTTTAAAAAATTACCTACTAACCAACTAATCTGTTTTTTCTCTCAAATTCTCACTTTTGAAACTAAAGTGCAATCATGATTTACCTGTGGAAAATTTTACACATAATCATGGAATGCATCATAAACTAGTTCAGTAAATACATTAAAATTCAGCAAAATGAATTCTGTGAAGATATATATATATATATAATCACTGATGTAATAATTTTTCATGTTATTTTTATGCAGATAAAGTAAAACTTTTTAAAATTAAAATAAAAGTAAATGAAATTTGAAATGAAAATTTTATGATGTATTGCATGAAAAAAAAACTACAAAATTCAATTAAAAGTTATCTATATAGAACAATAAAAAATGTAAGCAATCTGTAAAAAAATCAATTGCTGATGCAATTTTTTGATCTTCTGTTAGCAGTGAAAATACAGTATTGATCTTATCTATAGTATATTAGTTTAATCCATGCCTATAAAATTTACAGTACATTTAATCATAATAAAGTCACACTGCTTCAGAATTGTGTAAATTATAGTTAAGACCATGTAAATTATAATCATACTGTATTACATTTTTAGATTAGAAGATATTTCTTACAAATGAAATAATGAATAAATTCTCATTTTATAATTTACATGACTGATATGGCTGTGAATCTATTCCTCTCACAAAGGCACTGTTAAAAAGAAACTGAATTATTTAATAATAGTATTATGTATTTGAAAAAAATTTCAAAATAACTATAAATGAAAATTGCAATATAACATTAATTCTACAAATTAAGTAAATTTAACAATCAGTTAAAATTTCAAATAAAATCAGATTTGGAAAGAAGATAATGAAAAAATCCTTGTATCTCCAGATAAAACTATACATTTAGAAAAAATAAACCATTCATATTTACACTTTGAATGATCATAACTTTCATTTGTAACTGTCTAAGACTGTGTACTGTCAAAGTTCTACTGAAATTTAAATTGAATATTGTGTATATATTTTATGCTTTTTTTCAATATTGTTCACTTTTTGAAGCATATGAAAGTAACACACAAACTATGTTAGTTTCATATGCTAAATGCTAAGATGGTGTATATTTAAACAAATTTAAATTGAAGTGATAAAGAAATGTGCAAAATAATGGAAAATTTATATTTAAAATAATATATATTTCATTTCATAAATCATATTTGAATCATTTTGAATGTTACTATCACTGACATAATTTTGTATTAGGTTTTCATTTACACTATGTTTGAAGTGATTTAAATTATGATCTCAATATTTATAAAATTTTCTACAGTAAGATTTTGTGAATTATCTCTAAATAATTGTACATTTTGAACAATTCTTAATATAACCTTGATAAAAATCAAATAATTCCTAACTAGTTAAAACTTTAAAATGAAACATTTTTCAGTTATTCACAAATTTAATTTATACATTTAAAACTTACTTGCATGCTTTCATTAAAAGAATTAACATCTTTCAGGAATATTTTAATTGTTTTCTCAAGACTTCGAAAAGTTTTCTCAGCATCTTCAAACATTTCATCTTTTGTCTAAATTTTATATATTAAAAATTTGTATATTTTTTTTTTTTGAATTATTCAAATGTTATCACAAATTAAATGGTTAAATTAAAACATACTACAGTAGTCAAACCAATTGATGATGACAATCTCATACCAAATCTTGATGACTTTTTCAAGATAGAATGAATAGTAAATTTTGAAATCCTTGTAGATAAACTTGTATCTGCAGATTTTCTATATTTGAAAACTAACAACCATAAATTTTAGTTTTTAAAACTTGTTAAATAATTTACATAATAATCTATAAACAAAATATCTACCTAAATCTTTACGACGTTTGAATTCATTAATAGCAGTTGCAACATCTGTCATTAAGTCAACAGCTTTACTGAGTAGTTTTTTATCTAAATGAGAATCTTCAGTACACTGAAATAAAATTATTTAAAATAAATTTTAAAATTTATTAAATTATTTTAATCTAATAATTGAGCTAACCTTAACTAATTCATTTAAAAGTAGAGGATATTTAAGTATTCTTTGAACAGGTTTAATAAGAATGGAGCGGAGATCAAAACAATTTGTTTGTCTTTGAATAATTTCTACCCCATGTTTTAGGTAATTTGACATTGGTTGATTTTCTTCATACTATAAAATTAAATGTATTTTTTAAAAAAAATCAAAATTTAGTTCTTTTTTTTAATTCACATTATATTCATACTTTATCAAGAAGTGAATGAATGTCATCATGATTTCTACAGTAATGGCCATATACTTCTTTCAAATCATCAGCTAAATCAATGAAACACTGGCCTTGAAATAAAAAAAAATTATTATTATTATGTTAAATATATCTTTATAATAGAGAAAATAATATACAGTAAACTCCTGCTAACTCTGACTCTGCTTTCACATAACTTGGATGAAATTAAAAAAAAAAAACATAGTAATTTAAAATTTCTTGAGAATAAAAAAAATTATAATTAACAAGTGTTTTTTTGATATCTGAAAGTCTTTGCAATACCATGCCTCATATTACTATAGTTATAAGTTACTAAAGACTACATTGCTATCATAGGATTCTGTTGTGACAAAATTTTTCAAGCTCATTTTTTGTAATAATAAATTTTGCAATATAATTTAATAAAGCTCTGTAAATCTGTGTAAACTTTATACTAAATTACTGTACTGTATATCCATCTTCTTGTTTTCCATGTCAGTGAAGAAAACACCCAAAAACTCTGACTTTTGTAAATTCTGACCACCTTCACCCCCTATCAGTCCAAATTAGCAGAGCTTTACTGTATTTCATTAATTTTTATATGTTTATGATAATATATAAAATAACTTTTCAAAATACCAATTAGTTGATTTACTTCATCTTGTTTCATTGTATCTTCTAAATGATGTAACAGTTTTGAAGCTATATCAATTACTTCATCTAAATTTCCAAATAATGCCATCATATCAATACCTAACGACTACAAAAAAAATTTTTAAATTATTTATATAAAATAAATTATTTTATATATATATATATAATATATTCTTTAACTTCAACAACTTTTGCAGATTACTTGAATTTACAGTTATAAAATTTTTATTGTAATATTTAATAAAAACAAGAAACTGGATAAAATTTATATAATGCTATAACATATATTAAATGTAAACAGAGAAATAAACTTTATAAAAATTTTAGAAAATAATAATAATAACAATGTATTTTCTTTTACTGTGAAAGAAAACACTATGTAACAGAATAAGAAAACATGAATTATACAGTAAAAAGACAATAAAAGTAAATTATTATTATAAAGTTTAAATTCAATAAGAAAATTCATTATTAGTTCTTATTTAGTTATAACTTAAACATTAGAATCATTATTTGTAACTCCACTTAACATAAATATTGATATATACATAATTACTATGCTCTAATGATCTTTTATTTTTTACAGTAATCTTTTTTTTTTATCAAGATTTTAAAATATTTTTAATTACTGTAACAGTTTTAAAAATAAGCCATAAATTTTGGAAAAAATTTAATAAGTTATTAGTGCTTCTTTAGTATTAAAATATTTCTGTTTACTTTGATATAAAAATTGAATTTAGTTTTACTTTTTTGTACCTTTTTACACTTTTACTTTCTATATATTTTATACAAATTTATGCAAAAATCTTTCTAAAAATAACTGCAAAATTGTCTCTGTACATACATACACAATTCTATATAGATTTTGCTTCTAAAAACTAGCATTTTAATTTCAAAATGCTAGTTTTTAGAACTCTTTTTTAGTTAAGCTCAAAAATAATTGTTGATAAAAAATAACATTCAATATGTAATAAACCATTAAGAAATATGAATGAAAATTTCCAATATACACAACAAAAAATTTCATAAAAATCTACAGGTAAGAAAATATTTTCTAAACAATATTCAAAAATAAAAATCAAATAAATTTTATAATGATTAGCAAAATTATTTCAAACATATTTGTGTTATTTAAGTAGTTGTTATTCATTGTAAAAATATAATGATTATTTTTTACAGTATCACATTTTTATTATAGCATGATATCACTTCTTTGGCATGATATAATGCAAGTTATTTTATTTCAAAAGCTGTTCACTAAAAAGAAAAAATATTTTAAANTTTATCACTAAATATATAAAGCATATAACAAATTGTTTTATTTTAGTATTTCATCTCAAAATTACTACTATACTATGTTTCAAAAACATATATAAATACTTTATTTACAGTTTGAACAGAAATAAAATTTTTATTATGAAATTCTTAGATTTAATTAAATAACTAACAGTCTCAGTTATGTAATAGTTCAGACAGTTAATCAAATAATGCAAGTATCCATTAAAACAAGCAATTTAAAAACCAATCAATCAATAAGCCAGTCAATTAAACAAATCATAATTTAAGAATGTAAAATTTGCATGTTATTGATTCTTTAATTAAAAAAATAATAAAAATAAAATTGAATTAGGTACACTCCTAATTCTATAATAAAGAATTATATAATTATTATTAAAGAATTGTGAAACTTAATTCATTAAAACCTGCTCAAAAAACTAAAAAATACCTAAATTTAAAAAAGTATACAGAAATAAAATTACACATTATAAAAAGACAATGTGTAATTTTACATTACTATCTTCAAGAAGCATATATTGATAGTTGTGTACTTGTAGAATCATTTACAGGTAACCCCCGTATAACACGGCACTTCTATAGCATGGATTCACTCTAACACGGTTCGGAAATTGGGTAAAACCCTCGTACAACATAAAATGTAATAAAGGGTGCGTTCTTTTCTATACCTCTGTGTAACTCCGCACGAGCATTCTAATTGTTTTCATGGCTGCTTTGAATGCTCTTTCAACAAATAATCTATTTAATGGTTAAATTTTACAATTTGGACCCTTCTTTTGCCTCTAAAAGCTCATTTTAGAATTATAGATTCCTCTACACGATACTATTGATAGTGCGGGCGCCGCTATCTTTCTTTCACCGTCGTTCCTAAATGCCTACAAACAGCAGAGCACTCCTATTACAGAGCAACCGCTATTAACGAACGCACCCACAAACTGTTACCAGTTGATGATGCTCATGCTGAGATCATCATAGAAAATGAATAATCCTCTGGTAAAATATTTACTTAAATAATAAATATTTTATCTATGAAAAAAATGAATAATAAATCCGATTTAAATAAGGATTTAACAACATGTTTTTTAATTTTTGGATGAATGTCATCTTAAAAAAAGTATAAAACATTAAAAATAATATTACTAAAATTTAAATTATTCCCATTAATAACTTACATTGTAAAATTTTAATTTCTTTTTTTAATCCATCTATTTCATCATTATATATGTTAATTTGATCTTTTAATTCATTTCGAACAGAAATATTTCCATCAATTTCACATTGTTCATTATTAATTTCATCTTCTAATTTTTTCTTGCATTTTTCTAATCTCTGAAAATTTATTTTATCAACTTTTTATCATTTAAATTTGCATAAAATTTATTTACATAAATGACTATTAATGACTTTTCATTACATGCAACTGGTTTTCTTTTTCTGACAAACGATTCTGAATATTATCAACATTATCACCGTTTAAATCTATAACAAAAAGAGTTATAATTTAAGTTTATAATAACTCATGCATTATATACCTTTAAATAAATATATATGTAAAGAAAATACAACAATGATGAAAGTGATACCTTCATTTTCAACACTTGATAACCTATTAATAGGTTGCCTTGAAATAGGAAAAGAAGGTGCTGGTCTATGAGGAATTCTTTGAGACTGAAGATTTGAATGTTCTGGAATTTCTTCATTCTGTAGATTACTGATTTGTGCTAAACATAAAATTAAACAATTTTTATTATTAAANTAAATAAATATTTTATCTATGAAAAAAATGAATAATAAATCCGATTTAAATAAGGATTTAACAACATGTTTTTTAATTTTTGGAACCTAACCCCTGTTTTCACACTAGTTCTTTGTTTCATATAACACGGATTCACATAACACGGCAATTTTCTGGAACGTAACTCCCGTATTATACGGGGGTTACCTGTATATATAAATATTTTACCAGTAGAAGGAATATTATTGAAATAAATCAAATCTTAACATTTTTTTTTTATATTAAAACATACTTTCTGAAACTTTGAGAGACATATCCTTAATAAGAATGCAAAATCCTTTCTAGGAGATGCAAAGAAAAGCTATCATTGTGGTTATGATCATATCTTTATATTAACTGAAAGAGGATTTGAGTCTATAAGATTTAGTTTGCATAAATGGCAGGGGCTAAATGTATGTTTCAAGTCTTAAATTAAACCTCTTATCCTGCAGATGTTGCTGCTGTAGAGAAATTTGAGAATGGTGCAATAGTTCAGGTGTGGCAGAATGACAAATGTACTGTACAATTCTAATTTTATGGGACAAACACATCAGGCATTCGCATGCCATCTAGTGATTTAGTTTTTCTTTTAACAGTTAGAACAACCCATTGCTCACCTCCAAGGGTGTCGTTTCCATTATGAAAGGTATGGAAGACTCCATACCTCACATTTTTGCAGGTATGGAATTCCATATCTCAGAATATTGGAAAAATTATTTATAATTTAATGCAAGGCAAGCCAAGGCACTTGCTCTCTGTATAAAAACAAATTTTTTCCTTGGATGTTGACCAATCGAACTCTTACATAATCCAAAGTATCAAAATTTTTATAACTAAGCAATGCACTACCATTTTGTGAAAGCAGGGTCCTGCTTTCACAAAATTCCATACCTCAACTTTTAAAGAACCGACACCCATGCTCACCCCTACTCTGAATTCCTGCCCTTTTTTTACTAATTAATGCATTAATTTTTAACATTTATAAATTTAAGCAATTACACTAACTATTTAAATAATAAAATAAAATTAAGGATCATTTTTATTTTTGAACTAAACTACTTTTTTATTACAGATTCTAAAAAAATAAAGTAAGTATTAGTAAAAACAACATACATACTTTTCAACACTAAAAACAACAATGAAAGTTTTTTAAAAAAATTAGTTTTGTGAATATTGACTGCAACACCACTTATCAACTTTTAGCACCAATCTCTGTTTTAATTTTACCATTAATGAGACCAAAATGTGATTCTAACAATCCAATTTGCTATTTTGTGCCGATTGATGGATTTTTCAACAAACCTACCAACAAAAAAAAAGAGTAAACTTGAACATCCAACTATTGTAGGTCTAAGTTTTATTCATGAGGTGATCACCATGAGGCAAGTTTCCAGTACTATCAGCATTAATCCGAAACCTGTTAGCTGAAGTTGGTCATCCTTAAGAATGCTAAATTGCCATATTGGGGCCTAAATGCAAAACTGAAAGAAGTCATTGAGAGGACAGGACCAATGGTAGAAGCCTCATGGTACCAGAGAACAGGTAAATGAAATCACTGCAAATGGCCTAGAAAACACTTGCCACACAGATGATTTCTGTATAGAACTCCAAATTTTAAATGAGTTCTTTGATTGTATTTTAATTGAATAAAATCATCAATATTGATAGGTTCCTACTACTAGTTATCACATCAAGATTTTTAATCATTTAATGGTTAAAGTAAAATAGCACTTAGAGATACAAATTTCTGGCTATATTTTATTTTTTTGTTTGATATATAAATTATGTACTATCAAAAATCTATTAAAAAATGTTAGTTTAATTAAATTAAAATAAATAAAAAAACTATAGGTCAGGGGAAATGAAAAAATAAATTTAAAAGTCTATATATAATAATATCAATTCAAAACCTGGTTTAATTAATTAAAGCAAAATAATCTGCCAAATTATTGGGCTAATTTTAAGCTACGTTAATAATTAACTGCCAATTAATTTTATTACAGGTATCTGGATATGCTAGCATCTAATATTAATTTTTAATTCAGAAATTTCTGAAAAAAAAGAATTGGCATGAATCAGGACTCGAACCTGCAACTTTTGTCAATATATACCATACTAAGGTAAAGTGCTTACTGGTTGAGTGCTAAAGAGATAAGGTTATGGGCATTTAAGGCATTCCCAGTTGGCATCATGTATAACCCAAACAGCTATATCTAAATTAATAGTTCAGAAGCAATGATTAGACAGTGTTGCAGAAGTTGCAGTTTCAAATCCTGCTCCAGTTAATCCTTTTCTTCCAGAAATTCCTAAATTAAAAATTAATTTATTATATTTATTACAATTATTACAAGATAGTAGCATATCTGCTTACCTCTAAGTCAAATTAACTGGTATTAGTTTATTAAATTATTAATATAGCCTAAAAATAGCCTGATAATTCAGATAATTTACCTTTAGAATAAAGTCAAGATAATACAAAATTTTAATTCCATAATTTCTGTTCAAATTTACTGTATGTTTTCTTTATCAATTTGAAATTTACAGTGATGATTATCTAAATGAGTTTGAAGTAATTATTTGATCAATTTGGCTGAAATATGATGATTAAATTCAAATTGTTACTTATCAGAATGATGTTATTCAGGAATACTAAGAGAATATCTTTGAAAATTCAGAAGATAATCAACAGAATTACTTCAATAAAAAATCTTCTCCATTTGTTTTCACTGGATTAACATTAATGACAGTTTCTGATATATTATTCAGAATAATACGATCTGCACTGGCTAATGTTTCCATAACATCTTGAACATATGCCTTTCAATTTAGAAGTAAGAATTAAATAAATTGATAAAATGTCATTAAAATAAATTTTGTTAATTATATTAAAATTTGAAAAATACTGTAATCTATTGTAATAAAACAAAGATAATATTCATTTTTATTATTTCCAAATATCAAATTTTAAAAACTTATACATAAAATAAACATGAATATAAATATTCAAATTTTCATATTCATAATACAAGTATCTCCTGACTTAGGATAGATTATGATGAAAACAGTAGAAAGGAATTCTAAGTCATAAGTCAAATTTTATACAAAAATATTAAAGACATTAAATACAAAATGAAACATAATAAACAAATTACTTAAATGTTTGAGCTTTATTTCTTTTAAAATTTCATGTGTTTGTGTGTAATTGTAGTAAATTAAAATAACTAGAAAAAAATCATCTTAATCATTTTCATTGTCATATTTTTGTTTGATAAAAATTCAATACAGTAGAGCATCGATTATCCAACCCCCGATTAACTGTCACCTCGGTTAACCAACCGTGTTCTAGTCGGCAAATTCAAATGTCCGCTAGTGATGTGACGCTACAATATTTGCTATATCTTTGGCTCTTTTAATATTATTTTTAGGTGTTTTAGCTGGCAACACTGGATCGACCATGAAAGGGAGCCAGTATTTAAACAAGGCTTAATTTTCTAATTTTTAATGATACAATAGCAACGATTATTATTTTTTTAAAAAAATTGATAGGCTTAACATGGAGGAAAATTCAATGCAAAGTAGGTTAATAGCAATATACTAATATTCTAATTACATGGAATATAATAATATACTACACTAATAATGGATTTTTTCATACTTTTTGATTATCTGACTTTTCAATTATCCGACCAACCCCAGTCCCCAATTGAGTCAGATAATCGATGCTCTACTGTAGTTCCTCTTTAAAAATACAGAATGCAATTTTACAGAATAAACATATACTTTGTAGTTCTATTGATAAAATCAAGAAATACTTATAATCATAAATATGTGACAATCAATTCTTCTATGAACAGAACATTATTGAAAAATGTCAGATATTAGTAATATAAATATTGAAAATATTGAAGAAATACAGGTAACCCCTGTATAACACAGCACTTCTATAGCACGGATTCACTCTAACACGGTTCGAGAATTGGGACCATCCCCGTATAACACAGTACTGTTATAGCATGGATTCACTCTGACACGGTTCGAGAATTGGGTAAAACCCTCATACAACATAAAATGTAATAAATTTTTACATACTTAAGTACTAATACTTCGTGAAAATTATTTTCATGAACTATTAGTGCATAAGTACATAAATTTTCGTTTCTCGCCTTCTGTTGATACACATGGTCCTTCTCGAAACTTGTTTCAATGTTGCCAGATCTCGACGCTTCTGCTTCTGATGTTGCCAGATGTTTTTCTCTTATTCCATACTTTCTTTATTCTTCATAAGTGCATCATATAAGGAAATTTATAAAGATCTTTTAACTAGAAGCAAGCAATCTAAAATTACATACCTTTTGCAAAAGGTAGAGCATGGATCTGAAGATAATGCAGAAAAATGCTCAGAGAATAAGGATAACGTGCCAAAAAGAAAATTCTCTCGGTTAATAGTGCTTTTAGTGATGATGAAGAAAACATTGTTTAATTTATATTAATATGTATCACTTAAGAAAATTTTAATACAGATATTTATCTTAATTATGAAAATATAATAGCATGTTTTTTTAATTTTTGGAACCTAATCCTCCTTTTCATATTAGTTCTTTGTTTCGTATAACATGGATTTGCATAACACGGAATTTTTTGGAACGTAACTCCCGTGTTATACGGGGGTTACCTGTATTCAGAAATAATTTAGTGGAAAAGCTATCACCACCAATCAAATTATTTAATTAAATTTCATATCTAATGTATCTTTGTCATCACTATAAAAAAACAAACTCAAAATTATTACTAATTTAAAATGAAAAATCCAGTTTCACTTGTTATTAACATAACAGATGAAACTGGATTAATATATTTCTTAATCTTCAATTTTCAATTGAAGATTAAGAAATATATTAATAAATGAAATTAGTTTTAACTATCATATAAATAAATTATTTACTTTAAAATGATATCCTTATTTCTTTAATAAAACTGAAGTATATCCATTAATAAACACACTAATGATCAAAATCAATTTTACAAGTTGCAAAGTTGCAATGTGCAACTTCATCACTTATTTACTCAGTTCTTCTACAGATACATTTCAGTTAATACCCTAATTAGAATGGCTTTGTGCAGGTTTAACCACAAACCAACTATTTTATTTTCCAACACATTTCCATTACAAATGACATCTATAAAATAATATACATTTAAATCAGTTAAATTGGTAAATGTTGGTTTTTAAACTGGTTTAAATATATATTAATTTTATATATGCTAACTGCAATGAAAACAAGTTGGCAAATGTTGATTAGTTCTGAAATATGATTGTATTGTGGTTAAATCAGGAAAATTCCATGCTGATGAGAAAGTCATCTGAAATGCATCCATGATAATAATAATAACTATTGATATATCTCATTCTTTATTTAATATTTAATTATCTTAATGTTATATAATTATAAAAGACTAGTTTACTATATTTTAATTAATAAAACTATCTCAATACCTGTATTTTGTGTAGCAGTTTCATTTGTATAGGTAGTTGTTTGACTCTGTGAACAATTGCTTTTAAAATTAGTCAAAGGTCGTGTTTGAGAAATAGCTTCTTCATAATTCAGAAGATTATCCAACGATCTGTAATTAAATATTTTTTTAGTTTTCAGAGATCCAATTAAATACTTAAAAAAGTAAATATTTCTTTACCTATACAGACATGGAAGACAACATTTAATTTTCTCATAATAAATGAAAATAGTAGACCAAAATGACATTTAGAACAAAAAAGTTTAATAGTCCAAACAAAACATACATATATTAATATTAGAGGAGAGATATATTTTGATTTTGTTGAATAATGGTTGTTTCCATGTATGAGTCATATTAAGTATGTAGAGAGAATTTTTATTTCTCTACTAATTCTGAACATCTGCCAGAAATGTAATATTTTCAGAATTCAACTCGGTTTTTAACATAAATAAACTTAATCATTTTATCTTTTTTCATAAACATTTACTTGCATTATTTATAAATTAATTTAAAATTAAGAAAAATTTTTTGATTAATTAAAGAAATTTAAAAATATAGTAAAAAGTATCTATGTGAATACCTTAAACTTCAATTGAATGATCTTAAATATTGTTTAGAAAACTCCCAAATTTTTAAAATTTTTATATGAAAGTCTAGATTTTATTGATAAAAAATACTTAACTATAATTATCTGAAAAAATGTTGCAACTATGTAAACAAACTGCAATATTTTATAATTACTTCATTTGAAAAATAATAATGTAGTAAACCAAGCCCAATTTTATATATTAATAATCAAATCAGAATGCCAAATTCATTAGGCCATAACTTGGCTAATTGCATATACATAATTGCATATACAAATATTAAGTAATTTGGACAAAATATAGATGATTAAGTTACCATCTTGTATTATACTGTATTTAATAAATAAAATGAATTAATTTTAGAACATTCTAGAAAAAATTGATCTGGAGTGGTGACACTCAAACCTGCAACTCCTGCTTACTGTGCAGACATGTTGCANATAAAAGAATAAAATTTTCTTGAATTGGCTTTAAAAAGATGAAACATTTAACATTAAAAAAAGTACAATAATATATAAATATTTTTTTAATCAGTATATTTTTTTCTTTGTGACTTATGCAAAAGAAACTTTAACTCTTACAGAATCAACAGAAAACAGTTCAGAGAAGAAACTTACAAGGAAAAGAAAGATGCTTTAAAGGACTCATGTTCAACTTTCCTAGCTCCTTACAATCACTCAATCCTGACCAATGGGTTGGCTGTGTGGAGTTTCTGGGTTTCCTTCACATGTTTAATCCCTTATCTAGGATTAAACATGTGGAGTTACAAGTTTCCCTTGTAAGTTCTCTCAGAAAGCACATAGTAGCAGCATATTCTTGTAATGCATTACCAGTTCTCCTTAAATAAAAATTTATAACTTATTCTAAATTGCTGAAGCCATCCCTCAGCAGTTTGCCCACTTCTGCACTTCCTTTCCTCCACAGTTTTCATCATTATTAGGTAAACTTCTCTTCTTATGGCGCTTTATGCTCTTGCTGATAATAGCATTAACATTAATCCATTAATGCACCACAGCTTTCAATAAGCCAGCAAATGTCAGCACATAACATGCTTTCTTTCCTATCAATGTTTATATATGCTAACATATGTAAGTGTGACATTAGCACTCCCCATGTATAACACACAGAATAAAATGTATATAGATAGCATCAAACACATAAATCTATGAGCCCAATCATAGGAAATACTTTAACTTTATGAGAACCTATATAACTAATAAATATACAAATACACATCATTATCAATTAGACATCTCAGTGCTTTATGAGCAGAAAGAAAGATGTCTATGACCCTTTATCCAAACTGTCTCTATAAAAATATATACAGTATATACATATAGCAAACAGTTATCCCATCACTGCACTTATTAGGCCTATTACCAAGTAAATTGGTAGCCTCTGTAAATAATATTTGAACATACCTACTTATATCATAAAAACACATTTATGACCGACAGTCAGATGCAGATGGCCAAGAAGTTAGGATGGCAGCTACCGCTCTTAGGACCTGGGTTAGAATTTGAGTATGAAAAATTTGGTGCAGTTCAAGCAAATGGTTTAGGAGTTAAAGGGGGATGAAATTAGGAAATGGGTGGAGCATCTAGGTTTCATAGTATTCTAATATGAATATTCTATATTTTCCTCAGAGGTGCCAGAAAATAAGTACAAAAAGTTTTGGGCAGATTGAGCAAAAAGATTAGACTAGAGAGATACAAACATTCTATTATATATATATATATATATAAATATAACTGATGACAAACTATTTAGTCCAATAGACCAGGCAATTTCAATGGATTCATAATGGTTCTGAAGAATCACCTAGTCTGATAGTTCCAATGAACTATCTAGTCCAATTGTTCTGATGGAACATAACTGTTCTGAGGAACTGTCTAGAGTCTAGACCAGGCATGGCCAACATATGGCCCATCTAATGAATTTATATGGCCCACGATCAATCTTTCAATATTAGATACTGAAGCCTGAATAGGAAAAATTCTGATGCCTAAAAAAAAAAAATCAACAACTCACTATGCATTTAGAGTTAACCCTCCATTATAAATCTCGTAAGTACAGCGTAAAACATTGATAAAGCATGATAATGTGAAAAATGTATCTGTAATCTCTATGTACAATTTAGTCTCAACAGGGTGACACCGCAATGAGATCTCACACCACCTCAAAATCTTCCTAGGGCAACTTCTGGTTTGGCCCATGGTTTGGTTCGGTCCGGTCTGGGGGCAAAAACTGTTGGCCACCCCTGGTTTAGACTAATGGCTCAAAAGAACCAGTCTGTCAGAACAATTCCAACAGATCCAGTTCCAGAAACAGAACTGGATTTCCCACCACTAATAAGTAAAATTTTCATTTAGTCTGACTCCACTCTAGATATGATACGACCCTCCTCTATCTCACCATCCTTTTGATTTAATAGCATCAATCTCCTCTATCTCACCATCCTTTTGATTTAATAGCATCAATGCCCTCATATAGAAATAATTCTACCAAGTTTTGAAATTTTTGGTTATCCAGTCCTGAGATATAATTCAAAATAGATGTGAAATACGCATGCAGAATTTTATAAGGGGGTTTTCTCTTTTTATATTTTTTTTTTTTACATTTCTAGATTGTCAAAATGTCAAGAAATGCAAAAAACCAAAAGGACAAAATTTGACTGATGACCATATTTTCCTATGTTATATTCTAACAACCCGGAAAGTAAAAAAGAGAACATCTAAAGAAAATATAAGAAAATAATAATACAGTATATTATGGTGAGAATACAATTGGAAATCATATAATGAAGAAGAAAGGGATAAAGTAAACTTAGAGAGACTTATATCAAATGCTGAAATGATAAAAACTGCAAATGACAATTATTTAAGATATATAATGATCAACTTTTGATCATCAACATATATCACAATTTGAATTTTTAATGCAAATTGTGATATAAAAGGGCAACATACTATTAGTTCTACTCTAATAAAAATGATTTGAATTCTGATCTGTGAAATAATTAACAGAATTCAGATCTGAATAATTAATTAAATTAGACTGATAATTAATTTACCATTAAATATTTATTATTAATAGGCAATAGATATAATACTAAAAACCACTTCTAGCAAAATAAGTAATGTTAATAATCAATAATCATTAGCATTAATAATTAATCAAAAAATGTGATGCAACTTAATTTTGACAGAATGATTAATGTTTTGTTAATATGGAAGAAATTTTCATGTATTAAATAAATTTATATTAATTTTTGAAACTATACAACTTTATATTGTATATTAAGGAATTACACTACATTTAAAGAACAATTAAATGAGATTTTTCAGATAAGTTTCATTAGTTGTTTGTAAAGTTAAAGAAATTTTATATAGAAAAATCATAACTAAAATAAATTCATTTCAATCAATGAATGTGATACTAAAAATTGCTGCATCTATATTTTAACTTTTGATTACAAATGCAAATCATTTTAAAGCATTCATACATGATTCAAGTAACATTTAAAGTTTTTAGATTATTCTTCATAAGTTAATTTATCAAGTTAATGATGCTATATAACAGATCATTCATAAAACTTATTACTTTGTAATATTTAGGTAAATAAAAAATATTTATAATATATTGTTTCAGAAATACACTTCTATACTTTAAAATCCTAAAATGTATTTACTCAGTACATTTAAATCATTTTTTGGAAAATTATGATCATATAGAATTGTAATAAAAATATTTTAACAACATAATCAGTAATCAATAAACATGATTTAGTATAGTTTGTAAAAAAAAAAATGTAAAATTTTAATTTTAAATAAAAGTATTTTAATTTTAAAAGTAAAAAATTATAAATGATTTACCTTTCAGTTGAAAATGTATTATCTTTATATGAGTTATAGGAAATTAAATCAGCATGATCTACAGATATTTTACTTGCACTGTTGTATCTTGGCAATGTTTGAGGTCTTATATTTGAACTGGATAATTCTAAATTAGAAATATTGGAAGCAATACTATCATTAATACTTTTAGAAGATGAATGATTTTGCATTTGAAAAGAATCATTTTGATTCCAACTAATAACACTGGAATAAGGTGGTGGTGGCCTTTCTGGTTTGCTTTTTTGTGATTTGTTCCAATCAGAAAAATTTGTTGAGAACTGATTTGGTTGAGATGTATTTTGTAAAGATAAAGAAGGTTCACATTCTATCACTTCAATAAAATTAGCAGGACACATACCAATAGTACCATCATCTGTCATAGCTTCAAACCAATTGGAATTTGGTGCTCTTAATAATGTCACAGTATCACCTACTTTCAATCGTAAATCTCCAATTATCTGTGGCTCATAATCATAAAGAACTCTACCATAAGTATCAGAAGGAAAATCATAGTCTTGTTTATTTGATAGCTGATTGTTATTAGATTGTTTCTTATTGTTATTGTCTAAATCAACTATAATATCAACATAACTGGAGGGAAACAAACCAACTCTTCCATCAATTTCACCTTCCATCCATTGATCATCAATATAATTTCTTAATGTTATTAATTCACCTTGACTAAATGATAGCTCATTAGGATACTCAGCACTAAAAGAAGAACGAGTTCTTCCATAAGGAGTTATACCACTGTTGGTGCAGTCATAACCAAACTGATTATTAAGATCTGTGGAATCAGAGGTTTCTAAAAGAGATGAATTGTAACCATTCTTCATACTGCTGGATTTTTCTTCAATTTTCTGGTCTGATAGAAGACTATTTGAAGATTCTAAAGACGTTTTTTCATCCAACAAAATCACAAATGAAGAAGGAAATATTCCTACTTTATCATTGGAGATTCCTCTGAAAAAATTTAAAATAATGAATTTTCTATATTTTCTAAATTTCTATATACAAATTTATACAATTAGCTATTTTTAACAAATTATAAATTTAAAACTAAATTTTAAAAAGTTTTTATTTGAAAATCAATTATATAGTAGACTCTTAGTACGCTAACTTTCTTAACTTGAAATTCTCACTAACTAGAATCTTATTTTTATTCAGACTTAACTCCTATAGACTCAATGTATTATGTGTCAATGTATAAGTCAAAGTAGTTTTGAGATCACAGTTTATTAATTCAAAATTTAAGATTCAGAGATTTTATTTCATATCTAATTTCATGTTCTTTCTTTTGTGTTTTCAAGGAAATGGACATTATTATTACAAAATTAAAGATCAGTACTGTGTAGAATTACACCTCAGACTGCATGACATAAAACTCAAAATTTACAATTTTTCATGCCTAAGTAATGATCATATTCTCAAATACAAATTGACCAATCAAATCTTAGTGTTTTAAAATCATTATTTTTTAAATTTTAAAAATTAACAATTTCAAAATATAATAAACACATCTGTGATTTGACAACTTACTGAGTTTACTCACAACTTGGCCAATCAAATTTATAAGTTCATCTATATTTATCTCCTTATTTGAAACTAAACATTGGGGCATATCCGAAATGCATTCCTTGTATAATAAAGTTTGCATAGTCAATTACTGGTGTGTTCCCTGTATGGTGTCTTCCCTGTATGATGCGTATAAATTTTGCTGAAGAGAACTAATCACTAAAGGCTTTGATTGTTTTGTTGTTATTCCCCATTTCCATTAATCAGTAAGAAGTTCAGCAAACCCTATTGGTGCTTTCAATATACTAGTAAACATGCACCATGATCACACCACTGCAATGAAAAAGAAATTACTATATTTTTATATTCACATAATAAAGGAAATCAGGATCTCCTTTACTCAGTTTGAATCCTGTCCACATAGCATTTTAGTGTGCCTGATAGACTGATATGTAAGATGCAAGAAAATTGCATGACTTTCTAGGTAACTGACTTAAAATTGATGCAAATGGCACATATATAACAATTCTCCTCATTGGCTACAGAGGATTCTTAAATTAAAAATGCTTGATGGTTTACACTATCTTCTGCTTCCTTAATGTCTTCAACAGGTTGACAACCAATATAACTAACCTAACTTATCTGTAATAGCTATAGTCTGGTTTGTTTGTATGGTTTTGAACTGAACTTCCCAGTTCTATGGATATTGTCCATTGTCCAATTGAGAAGTCAAATCAAGTAGTGAACACTTCCACCTAAATAATGAACTGTGATAATTTACTTATAACTAAGTATAATCAAAATTATCATAGTAAACTATTTCTAAGTTCCTTGATATTGATAATAATTAATTAATTTAAGATACTGTTTTTTTTTTTATCTTTTTTAATGTGGAACTTGGATTATATACTTGGTGATTCTATACTGACGCCATTCTGAGCAAATAGGTGTGATGACTAATATCTCTGGCAATCGTGTTTTTCTATTATTAATTGATAAATTAATTGACTTAGTTCACAATTACTTCCACACATCAGATAGTGTTTTAAGTGCAATATAGTTAACAAAACAATATGAATAACTGGCAATGTAATAACAATCTACTTGTTTAAAGATGAAAAATTTCTTTCAAAAAAAGGCAGATAGCACTGAAAATTAATCAGTCAGGTGATAACTGACTAAGAATGATACTGATGCTTATTTCTTATAAAATATACAGTTATAAAAATTTATTAATAAATGATAATAAAATTTTTTCATTTGAATAAACATTTCAGAATGAAAGCATAGATACAAAAAGCTAGTTATTTCTGATGAAACTGGATGTGTAGTCACAATTATCCGAAATTATCGTTATTAATAAAGTTATCGTTTCTTTAAACATTACTTTTTAATGTTCATTTAAAAATTTAAAATTTGAAAATTAATAATACTTTTCCAATGTAATGATTATTTATCAATTACTCTGATTATTAGAGAATTAATCACCAAGTATTGATTAATTGGTGGAGGAGCCAATTAAGATGATTAAGGATTACTAAAATAATTAATCAGTATATCTCTAAAATTTTTATTAAAACATAAAGTGAAAGTAACAAACTACTGGTGAAATGACTAAGCTGTATTATGTGAACTATCTATCAGCAGTGGCATGCTGTCATTAGAAGCGGTGGATGTGCCGCTTCCCCTGTATTTTCTAAAAAGTAAATACATATTAATTTTAATTATATGAAAATAATCGCACAATATTTTATTATAACTGCATTATGTATCTTATTACAAGTTTCTATACTACATGTGAAAAAAAGATAAGATTGCTATTGTATATTCGAATATTAGTGGCGGAGTAGCAGAGTGGAAATGCTGTATTGTCAGCATCCAAAAAGCCAGATTTACGCATGCACTTTACAGAGCACCAACCTCACCAGTTTAGTCGGTGGAAGCCTAGGACCTTGGGTAGCTGCTACACCTATAATGCATCCAATTCTATCCAGGACTGGTTCCGGGCTGTTAGCTGCCCACCTGCTAGATAGTTGGCCGCCCTTGCCCGATTATGTGAATCACAAGTAGATTTATAACTTAACCCAACCGATAAGAATGTTTTTATGATAGTTTTCTGTATAGTTGACAGGAGTTTTAAAAAATCCGTTAATATATTTGATATATTTATTCCGCTCTCCGATTTTATATTACTCACGGATTTCAATGTTAAACCAGTGATATTACAATTTCGTATGTCCCATCTTTAAGAGGATGTAGAAAAAAACGTGTACAATTCTTGTATAATGTTAGAAAATTAACTGTTACTTTGACAGCACCTTTTACAACTAAATTTAATAAATGAGAGAGATGCACGAGGTACAGAAAAAGCTCTAGAATTTATTTTCCTTAAATTTACAATTTATGTATCCGTTTGTCATAAAAATTTGTCTTTCCACTTTTTCCCGAGACTACAAATATTCGAGTACAAAGTAACTGTTAAGTAGTTATTTCTACTTAAGAAGTAGTTAAATAATTAAGCGATTAGGGAATTGGGGACATAAACAAAACCCTGATGAAAGACCCAAAATTTTACTTAAACAAAAGCCTAACCGAACCAATCTCTAGCTGAATACAGTGGAACTGATTTCTTTGAAATATTAGATGTAATAAAGACAGACATTTTTCCAGTTCAACAAGAGTGACTGAAAAAGTTGTAAATTTCCGTGGACAACACCTGGTCCTAAAACGAATTAGTTAGAAAACAAACGATGGACAATCTATTAAGTTTAACATATTTAGACTTTTACAGCTATGGTGAGAAACGTTTAAAATTTACAAGAACTCCGTTGAGTCTTTTGAGGTATACTAGTGATGCAACAAAAGAGGCATTTGAAATTGACCAGTATCAGCACCCTCAGGATTTGGCAGCCCGCATGCATGTACACACTGCACACCTAGCAGGACTGTCTCTGATTCCACTTGTAGGGAGCTATTTGACTAAGTGGTTAAGATTTAAAAAGTAAAGAAGATTTTATGTTATTTTTATGTACGTTTCATTACAAAGCTAAATTTAATTATAATTTTATTTAAACGTATATTCATACAATTGAAGAATGTTTTGTGCCCAGTATGTATATTCACCACACATTTTATTTCAAGTAAATTTTTATAATTTTATTTTTAATTTTAGCCCTTATATCATGGCTAGCAATTCGTAATGTAATTGCAATATTGAAAATTTATTTTAAAAAAGTTTTGGCTCAAGTTCATATAATGAAAAAGAAAACATTATTAAAAGAGAAAGGCCAATGCCTAAGTTAAATATAAAAACTTCAATAAAAAAAATTTGTTTGAGATTTTCACAATAAAATGGCTCTGTAAATGCATAAAAATGCAAAAATTGTTTTGTTGGCTTGCCTACTATTTTCAAATGAAATTAGTGTGTGGAATAAGAATAGCTTTGACAATTTAGCTGGCGAAATACACAAAAAATCGTAGATTCTTTCGTATTTGAAGCAATTTGGAAATCGAAGCGGAATAGAATTTAACATTAGTAAATAATATAAAATAAATATTAAAAATTATAACGAGATAGTTACGGCTAATAGATATATTTAAATAAATAGATGTTATATGTTTTTATCAAAGCAAGAATTGGCATTTAGAGGGCATATGGAATATATTGGATCTAATAACAGAGGTAATTATATTGAACTTGTTTAATTATTAAGTACGTCAGATAAATAATCTATTAAAAATACATTTAAAGAAAGAATTAACTGATTGCCCCTGGAAGTAGGCTTCTTATGAAACACAGCTTCCCTATCATCAAATGTCACGGCACGCCACTGTCTATCAGTATTTGCTCTAAATCAGTGATGAGCAACCTTTTCTTTATTGAGCCACAAGAAAACTAGGCTTCTGGCAGATTGCATACATTTTTTCTTATGGAGCAGTAAGCTTTGAGCCTGCTGAGTGCCAACAAACTCCATAACCTCCAGTACACTAGGTACTAAAATAATCTATGCTAATGGTATGCAAACTAAATAGTTTATTCCCATCTTTTCAATAGTCAAGTTTAGTTTGAATGTTTTTGTCACAAATATCAGTTTAATTAAGTTTGCACAATTCTACAAGACAGAAAACAGGAAAATAAAGTTGTATTTCCAAAGCCTGGGACCTGTATATTATTACCTTGCAGGCTGCATATTACTCATGATTGCTCTAAATCAGTGTTTCTCAACCTCTAATGAATCGTCGCCCCCTTCAACGTAGTATCGCCCCTTCAATAAAACCGTTATGTAGTATTGCCCCCTTTACTATAAATTCCGATGCTGAGGGCCAAGGCTAACGCCAAATTCGTACTGCATTGAATAGACTAGTGACTAGGATAATGTTATTTGTTTAATTATTGTATGATATAACGAATAAAATATCATACAATAATTAAACAAATAACATTATCCTAGTCAAAATCCCCAAAATAATCCCCAAAAAATCAATCCCCAAAATATAAATTGTTACTAATCGCCCCCTCAACATGGAAAAACGCCAACTTCATTTAGAAACACTGCTCTAAATGAACTTACATTTCAAGTTCAAGTCAAGATCAGTTAGTCTGGATATGCTGGGTCCATCCTTCATTACATAATCATCTATTGCAAGTTTATTAATCATTACTTTAAGTAAATCACTACTACAGAATTTTAATATTCTAAAAGGCTTTCCTAATGCTCACATGACAATAAGGCAAATAGCAATAAAAACACAAGAAAACTGTTTAATCATATTATTAAAACTATTGTGATATAATGTCCATTAGATTATGTATAAAATGAATATATCAAATGATATCTAAATAAATGCATATTTATTCTATGTATTTATTTAGGGTGTCAGTATACAATTATACATACCTATATTTAATTAAATAGTTGATATAACTAATTTCAAAGTTGTATGTTAGTATAATTTCATTAATTGGTAAATAGTCTGACTTTTACTTACCTGTACCAATCTTTATCTATAAATTCTGTAACAGTAATGATATCTCCTTTTATTAAATCTACTTCCTCTGGTAACTGAGCAACCATATCCATTTTAACTCTGGCTTTTAAATTCACTTTCTTTGGCATATCTTCCATTTTTAAATTTGATGTATCTATAGCCCAAACATGAGTCAATGGAAATATACCTTGTCTATTATTAATCTCGCCAAACCACCAGTTTGCATCAATTGGTCTTTTTCCAACAATTATGTCACCTATCAAAATATCATCATCAATTAGAATAAGTTATATCAAATTTAATTTATTTATTCATCATTATTATTAGATTTACTATAACAATAAACTTTTATATTAATTTAATATATGAAATATAATCATTATCTATGATATTAAATACTAAATAAGATAAGAATTAAATAAAGTAATTACAATATAAATTAATCAATTAGTAATTTGAATTATTAAGAGGAAAAAATAACCATGGTATCAATTATGCAGTAGAGATAGCAAGTACTGTACATGTAGAAAATTCTGACTTGCAAAATTAATATATACATATGTTTATATGAAATCAAAATAACAACTAGTCACATGAAAGCTGACCTAAAATATGCACAAAATAAACTAAAAAATTCTAAACAGTATAAAATATCAAAAGTATATAAATTATTATTTTAGATTTAAGAATTAAAACAAACTATTTAACAATAATTATAATCACTTGCATTATTTTCGTATACAAACAAGGATATAATTATTAAAGAATTTTCCTTAAGAAGAAAAAAAGGAAAGAAAAATAATTTAAAATATTTCTTAAGAGAAGTCAACGATCTAACCTAAATTTTAAAATATTTTGAGTTCTATCAAAAATATCAAACAAATTTTGCAAAAATATGAAAAAAAATATTATATATATGAACTATTTGTTATACATTTATACTATTATAAATACAATGTTATGTATTTAATTACTAAAAAATATTTATTATGAAAATTATAGTGACTTATTAAAAGCAAAATAATTTGGAAATTATCCAAAATTATGTAAAAAACATTTTTAAAAATTTATCATATTTACAATGAAGCCTGTTTGTTCTTTTTATCAAACTAGTTTTATAATTTAAAATTTGATCATATCATATTAATACTAGAAAAAAGTGTTTCATAAAAAAAGTAAATTTTAAATTTTACATTATCCAATTATTAAAAACAAAATACAGGGAAAAAAAACAAAAAAATTAATAAAATGATAATTTATATAACATCATGAATATATTTTACTACTCACTACTAGTCATTAATTTTAGAATTTATAGTTATTGATAACTATTATTAATAGGTGCTATTTTCATTTCAATAGATGTTAATAAACAAATTTCACCTAAGAATATTAAAATCTAATTCCTTATTTCTAACCAGGAATTATATGAATCATTTTATTAACAGAAAAACATTTGAATATTTTTCTTTGTTATAATAATGTACCAGCAGATAATGTCACATTTTGCATCTATAAAAAATATATCTTTAATCTGATAAAAATATAATTAATTATTATTTCTGTTAAATTCATGATAATTTAATTTCATAATTAAAGATTAAAAATACTTGATTATAGCTTTATTTTTTCATTTAGTTAAACAGATAACGAGTTTTAAATTATATTTTAAAAGTATGTTTTCTAATTAACATTCAGATTATTATTTACATTTGATCATACTTTAAATGAAAAAAAGGAAAGAAATATTTTATATATAATTTATTTTACAGAATTTTTTTAATAAGTAAGATTTTAAAAACAAACTTCTTTATTCAACATGATATTACTGATAACTAAATTATCAAGATTATAAACAAAGAATTTTGATAACCAGATAACAGACAATTAAGCAAATGCCTGCCACTTTAAGTTTATATAAGATCTTCAAAAATTTTCTCAGATAGTTTGATTGAGCTAGTTATACAAAGAAATAAGTAGAAGAATACAGCAAGCTGATGGCTTCTATCAGAGTATGAGTACTTTGATCTGGAAAAAGAAGATACCACTCAAATGTACGGATATCCTTTATCAATTATACTTTGTCCCAATATTAATTTAAGGAGCTGAAGCATAGACTACATCACAAAGAGAAGACAAAAAGATCCAGGTGGCAGAAATGAAATTCCTCGGGAAGTGCTTAGTAAGACCAGAAGAGACAGGATAAGGAATGAAGAAATAAGAGAAAGAACAGGAATAGAAAATTTGGGAATAGAAATTAGAAGATAGAACAAATTAGATTGAGATGGTTTGGACATACCAAGAGGATAGAAGAAAATATAATTGCTTTTTTACAGACACACTACGGTGACATTATTCAACACTTGGCAGATTATTCACAACTTTATTCAGTTGGATAAAGTGGTGAATAATCTGCCAAGTGTTGAATAATGTCACCGTAGTGTCTGTAAAAAAGCAAGGTAAATTACAACACGGTTTCATCAGAATCAAAAGAAAATATAATACCAAAGTTTGTTTTGAAGAAGAAAACGGAGGGGAGAAGACCCAGAAAGACAGATGAAAAAGACAGCTGAAGACCTAAGAAAAGAACTGACAATTTAACAATGGTGGAAAGATAGAAAGAGACAGAGGTGTTTGGTCCATGGCCCAACCCAGGTTTCATTGGATTAAGGGCAAAGAAGTAATAGTTTGGTCTAGCTATGTTGGATCTCCAGCTCCTATTATATAGATACAGCCTTGTAGCTATGGACAAACAAATAGACTTAAAAAAATAAGACTTTTCAGAATCCTAGGGTAGAGTTTAAAAAGCAACTTTAATGGAATTATGGCTAGTTTGATATAAATTAATGTAAATAATAATTTAATACATAAATAAAGGTACCACTACAGATGAAACTATTAATAGAGTATGTAATAGGCAGACCATATCATTTCCAATCCAACTGGGAACACATTTCAGAAACAGTGAAATCAGGTCTAAAACTGATTAAACTTTGGTTATTTTTTAAAATTTATTTATTTATTGATCTATAAATTGGTAACATTACATTGATGTATTAATAAAATTGTAGAATGAATCTTTGAATGCAACAATCAAATATTAAAAACAAGCAAAAAGGGACAGTCCCAAGAAATCCAGAATGTCTGGTCATCCTAGTATGTAACAATTTGTTAAATTTAACATATTAAGATATAGAAGATAAAATTTAGTGAGATTTCAGATTGTAACTATCACATACTAACAAAATATTTTTAGTCATATTTTGGAATAAATTCTTAATGATGTATAAAAATAATTTGAATTATATAAGAAAAAAATACTCATGATATCAATTAAGGTTCTCTCTATTGTCTGAATTGAAATTCTTTTCCTTAATGAATTTATATAATAAAGTATTCAGACTATAAACCAGTAACATAAATTTCTCAATGAAAGATCTTTGAAGGTGATTGATTTCTATTTTTCCTTTTTTTAACATATGTAAAAATTAATAAAAATTTAAATTTCATTACAAACTTATCAATAGATAATAAATTTATCATTACTGATAAATTTACATAATCATTAATTTTTCAAAAATCAAAAAAGTTATTTTTATAATTCATGAACATGGCAATTTAATTTTAACAATATTTGATATATTATATTCAGCTATTCCTATCATTAATAAATTTATAAAATATCTATATTTAACTTTAAATTCTTTCTAATTTTCTTTAAATTTTAAGGAAATTAATTTCTAACACAAAACAAACCAAGCATAAAGAATAATATTTGTATTCATATTTTAATTGTACAATAAATATTAGTTCATTTTTTATAAGTAACTATAAAATTTCTTTGTAGATATTTAAATAACTCCCATATCAAAGTTTGTAAATATATTACCTTTGCTCAAAATAAGACTTATATAAGTAAAAATTTCCTGCTTAACTATAAATATATGAATTAATCTAAGTATAAGTAAACTCTCAACTGATACAAAGTTTTCTTGAAATGAATTAAAAATATAGATTGTAAAATTTATCAGGCTTTCAAATATTTAATAAAAGCTGATGTTGAAATATTTGCTTAAAAATAAAAATAATTTATAAATATAACAATAATCTAATAATGGTTGCTTCAATTAATTAAATTACTTCTAATATTTTAAAATTGTACATCTTTTAAATCAACAAAAAGCAAAATTTTGATTAATAAAAAAAAATTTACTTACATTATTATTATTAAACAAATTTATCTATCAAAAGTGCTATTGTTTCTTTCTAATATGTTTCAATGCATTAAGATGCATTCAAAAATAAGCATAAAAGTATTTCAATTGCTAACTTCCTGTTAGAACATCAAGTTCATTTTCTTTTAAAAACATATTCAAATATTTGCTAGTAAACGTTAAAATCAAGTTTCTCTTCTCATTTCTGTCTATTAAAATGCCCTATTTACAATTTTACACGATAATTATCAATGACCTTTTAAGAAGTAAAATTGTTAACACTATTTTATATTATTTTATTTGTTTTAATTTTAAATTAATTATATTTAACTTAAATTTAAAATTCTTGCTCTTTAATACTTTAATATTCAAGCAGTATATTAATTATAATTTTATTGAAACTTTAAAAACTTAGCATACTTACTTATTTTCATTTTATTTTGTGTAGTGAAAAAATTTTCTGATATGAATAAATAGATTTAGGCAACTTTATTATACAATAGTGTTGCCTAAATATGAGGACATCAAGAATAGAAAAAAAAATCATTGCTACTTTACTGCCACTCCTGCTGGAGATTTTCTTTTTAATACATAAACAATGATCATATTTCATTTTTATCCCATGAATTATTTTATATATGTTTTTAAAAATTCAAAGTAAATTCAGTTATACATAAGAAATATTTCACACATTTTATTAAAGATATTTTCTCTATTAGATAATATGCTGTGTAAATACTTTTGGCCAATTAGAAATAATTTTTTTTCTAGTAACTGGCAAAATTACACAACATAAGATAAGTTGTAATAGGTTTATTGCACATGTGGGTGGATTAGGTTAATAATAAACTAAAAAATTGGTGACAGTATGTGGAAAAACATAATAATAAAATAAAATAGAACATAACAGAATATGAAAAATTTAATTTACTGATTAATATATTAAAAGAAGATTTTCCAGTCTTCAATATTTTGCTATTAATACAATGCACTAATACCCATTACTTTTTAGCTTTTATATTTATATATTGTATTAAGAATA